CAGCTCTACACCTTGTTATCTCAGATTCTCCAGCATCTGCAGTTCCTACTATCTCTGAATGTATTATATATAACCCATTTCCAACTATTAATCCAGTAAATCTTCCATGAATTGCTTGCAACGCATTTCCATCTTTCTTTAAACAACGAGACCAAAACTGTGCATAGTACTCCCAATGTGGTCTCATCAATGCACTGTGTAACCTTGTGCTGGATAATGGGATTAGGAAAGGTGCTTGCTTTTGACAGGTGCAGATACTGAAGAGCCTTTTTCTGTGCTGTCGATCTCTATGACTCTATAACTGAAACATAGCCTCCTCTAGATTTTCTAATAAATGTAAACAATGCTAATTTATCACAGTGAAAAAGCAGATGCGATGTCACTTCGATCACCACCTCAAAGTCTCATGTTCCTAATGCTCAGAGTATGCATGGTAAACCATCTATTCTGAGGAGTGGCAGATGGAGTTTATGTTGGATAAATGCGAGATGTTACATTTTGTTAAAACAAAGACAAGACTTATACAATTAAAAGTAGGGCCTTGGGCAGCATTGTAGAAGAGTCCTAAGGATTCAGGTACATAATTCTTTGAAGTTTGCATCACATATAGACAGGGTGGTTAAGAAGGCATTTAACATGCTTCATTACTCAGATATTTGAATAGAGGAGTTGGGGCATTATGTCCAGTTCTGGTTGCCCCGTTATAGGAAGGATGTTATTAAGCTGGAGACGGCTCAGAAGAGATTTACCAAAATGTTGCCAGGAATGGAGGTTATAAGGAGTTATAAGGAGAGGCTGGATAGACTGGGAATTTTTTCACTGGAGTGTAGGAGGTTTAGAGGTGACCTTATAGAGGCTTATAAAATCATGAGGGGTAGAGATAGGGTAAATGGTGGGTGCCTTTTCCCCCTAGGGTGAGGGATTTCAAAACAAGGGGTCGTATTTTGAAGGTGAGAGGATAAAGATTTTAAAAAGACAGGAGAGGTAATTTTTTCTTTACACAGAGTGGTTTGTGTGTGGAATAAACTTTCAGAGGAAGTGATGGATGTGGGTACAGTTACAACATTTAAAAGATATTTAGAAAAGTAGATGAATAGGAATGATTCTCAGGGTTATGGGCCATGCACAGGCACGTGGAAATGGTTTAGTTTGGGATTATGGTCAGCCTGGATTGTTTGGACCGAAGGGGCTGTTTCCATGTTGAATGACTCTATGACTTTATGCACTGCAGAAATTCTCCAAGGTTCTTTATACAGGACATTCCAAAACAAGATGACTCCCATCTAGAAGGACAAGGGCAGCAGATATATGAGAATACCATCACCTGCAAGCTCTCCCACAGCCCACCAAGCAACTCACCGTCCTGACTTGGAAATATGTCGCTATTCTTTCAGTGTCATTGGATCAAAATCCTGGAAGTCCCTCCCTGACACCTACAAACACGTGAACTGCAGCAGGTCAGGAGCTGTCAGGAGGTGGTGTCCCCACGCACCTGCTGCCCTTGTCATTCGAGGCAATATAGAGTCATGAATTTGGGAGGTTGCAGGCAATCTGACATTTTATAAAAAAAAAGACTTAGCTGGAGAAGATGGTCACAAATCTGTTGGAAATGTTTGTCAAAACATTAAGCATCAACACACTGAATAAAAGCAACGGGTTTTTGCAAGAGTCTCAGTTTGATGAATTGATGCCTTTTTAAAACTCAGAAATGGTGTTTGGTGGAGTAAGGGGGTGGCTTTTGTTGAATTTCAAATAAATTCCTTTATTCTATGAGTTACTGATTCTCCCGCTGTTTACTAAGCCAATAATCTGATTCAGTGGTTTGTAGGTCAGAGACCTGGTGACCTTCACAAGGTTGATCTATAAAATATCCCCATCTTGTAAATCCTTTCAACTCCTGGCATCAACTTAGACAGCAGGCAACATGCGTTTCACATTGATCCTCATCGTCTGCTTGGCTGCCTTCTACAAAGGAGAAACAGTGGTAAGTGTTTATAATGGTAACCTATATTTCACAGGGTAGCACTGCACCGACTGTATAAATTCTCTTTCACCTCACTTTAGGCTGTAGGAGGCAAACAATTTTTGTACGATAGGTACAGGTTGAAATAAGCAGAAAGTAAAACTGTGCTGGCAAGGGACAGCTCCAGAAGGTAACAGCTAAACGTGGCCTCTCTCGTTTTCCAAGGTACTAAACAGAGCAATAAGTGCTCCAGCAGCTAACACTCTTCCCCCCGAGCCATGGGATTCAAATTTAACTCCACAGACTTGAACACTCCCACATTCAGCACAATTCTGAGGGAGTACTGCACTGCCAGAGGGGCTGTCTTTCAGATTAAATATATTCCACCCCCATAAATGGGCTTGACATTATTTGAAGAGCAGGATTGGGACCACTATCTGGTGATTTTTGCCTTGCTGGAGCTTACTTTGTGCAAATTGGTTGCTCCATTCCAATGGTGACCAGATCTTAAGAAGCACTATGTTGGTACTTCAAAGCACTTTGTAACATCTGAAGGTCATGAAAGATGCTACAGAAACGCAGTTGTTTCTTTGCTGCTTTTGATAATCATGGCTGAAAGTTCACCCAAACACTAACACTGCTGCTCAGATACTTTGGGTCATAGAGCCAGACAGCACAGAAACAGAACCTTCAGTCCAATCCAGTCTATGCCAACCAAGTTCCCCAAACTAAACTAATCCCACTTGCCTGTATTTGGCTGATATCCCTCTAAACCTTTCCCATTCATATACTGATTCAAATGTCCCTTAAATGTTGTAACTGTAACTCCTACTTCATATGAGGCACCCCACTGTGTGAAAAAGTTGTCCCTCAAGTCCCTTTTAAATCTTTCTCCTCACACCTTAAAAAAATGCCACCTCGTCTTGGAAATCCCCCACCCTAGGGAAAAGACACTTGCCATTCACCTTATCTATGCCCCTCATGATTTTATAAACTTCTGTAAGGTCATCCCCCAACCTCCTACGCTCCAATGAAATAAGCCCTAGCCTCTCCAGCCTATCCTTACAACACAAACTCTCCAGTCCCACCAACATCCTGTATATCTTTTCTAAACCCTCTCCAATGTTATACTATTCTTCCTATAGCAGGATGACCAGAACTGTACACAATATTCCAAAAGTGACCTCACCAACATCCTGTACAACCTCAACATGACATCCCACTCCTATACTCAAAGGTCTGAGCAATGAAGACAAGCGTGCTAAATGCCTTCTTAACCACCCTGTCTACCTGTGATGTGTTTGAGAGAATCAAAGTTGGGCAATAATATCTTATACGACTTAGGGGCTTGCCTAAGCATTGTGCAATCCACGTTTGGAGTGTAGTACTGCACTAATGCAAGGAATAAAGCAGTCAACTTCCAAATGGCTCACTCCCAACAAGAATGAGATAATGACCAGATCACTTGTTCTTTTCATTGTTGATCTTCTTGGATCAATCTCATTGGTGCATCCCAGAGACACAGAATAGTTACATCAGAGGGATGCTGACTCTCTGAAAGGACAACCCATCTCTTGCTGTTTCTTGGCAGCCCTGATAATGTCATTAGGCTACTAATCGAGAGACATGGGTGTCAAATTGCTGGTGAAATTTAAATTCAATTAATAAAATCTGGAATGTAAAACCAGTCTCACTAACAGGGAGTTGGTAAGTCTCTTCTGGAGTACTGTGCCCAGTCCTGGTTGTCCAGTTATAGGAAGGATATTATCAAGCTTGAGAGCATTCAGAAGAGATTTACCAGGATGTTGCCGGGTATGGAAGGTTTGAGTTATAAAGAAAGGCTGAATAGGCTGGGACTTTGTTCATTGGAGTGTAGGTGGTTGAGAAGTGACCTTAGAGAGGTTTATAAGATAATGAGGGTTATAGATAGGGTTAATGGCAAGTGTCTTTACCCTAGGATGCCGGATTTCAAAATGGGGTACGTGGTTTTAAGGTGAGAGGAGAAAGACGTGAGGGGCAAATTTTTTTTTTTTTTTTTTTTTAAAACACACAGAGGATGGTTCACATGTGAAATGAACTTCCTGAAGAAGCACAGTTACAACATTTAAAAGACATTTGGATAAGTATTTGAATAGGAAAGGTTTGGAGGGATATAGGCCAGGAGCAGGCAGCTGGGACTAGTTTAGTTTGGGATTATGGTTGGCATGGACTGGCTATATGACTCTATGTCTCTATGACAAGCCTCATCTGGTTCCCTAATGCCCCTAAGGGAAGGAAACCTGCCATCCTTACCCAGCCTGGACTACATGTGACTCCCAGGTTGTGGTTAGCTCTTAACTACTCTTTGAACTGCTCTCGTGATCATCTCAGTTCAGTGAGGCAGCTCACCACTGCCTCGTCAAGGGCAATTATGGACAAGCACTAGCTGTTAGCCCAGCTGTGATAAATCAATAAAAAGCATTGCCACATAAAGTCATGTAGGTAGATGGAGATAAATTACAGATGGCCATGATCTAACTCCACTATGCTGAATATGGCTGGAATGCCCTCCACTCACTCCGAAAATTGTTACTTTGTACAGACTTTGAATATATCTGTGAGAAAGTCAGGACTGCAAGAACAGGACATCATAAAGGGAACAACAATTTAAATTAATATTTTTTTAAATTCTGGCATCTTGTCCTGATGAGTATAAAATTAAATTTTTTTTCAGTAATGTCCAATTTTCTACATTTTCTAGATTTGATTCTTAGGGCTAGAGGAATCAAAGGGTATGAGGAGAAAGTGGGAACAGGGGATTGGATTTGGTGATCAACCCTGATCATATTGAATGGCAGAACAGGCTCAAAAGGGCTGAATGGCCTATTCCTGATGCTTTTTTAAAAAATGTTTTCTAAAAAGCAGTAGACCTCACTGCAAAGACATTTTGAAGTGAAATATCCCCACTATCTTACCATGTATAAGACACCATCCCTTGTGGCATTATTTTGAAATAACTTACCCAGGCAAGAATTTTTTGGTGACTCATTACAAACACTGAACTGATAGCTATTGACATGTTAAATCAAACGTTTTGATTTTCATCCTGCCTCTTTACCTCAACTAATCTGCTTTGTTTCTGTCTACCTCAGGACCACGGTGGTAGTGATACCAAATGCCCCATCAATATCAAGGTTCTTAACGCGGTCAATGGAACCCCAGCAGCAAATCTTCGTTTGCAAATATACCGACAAAATGCGGACCTCAGTTGGCAACAGCTCAATACCGGGTGGGTACAAGAACCAGGGTGAAGGGTCCTCAAATTCCTTCACATCCAGACGTATCCACGGATGTGGGAGGGGAATTTCAGGATTTATATCCAGCGACTCAGATGGAAGGGTGATATATTTCCAGTAACATTTGTACCACATAAATGCCAGGCATTAACCATCACCAATTAGAGATACTCTAACCATTGCCCCTTGACATTCAATGGTATCCACCACTATCAATATCCTCGGGGGGTGGGGAGGTGGGTGGTGGTGGGTTAACCATTGGCCAGAAACTAAATTCGACTTCCCACACAAACAGTGGCCACAAGAGTAGGTCACAAGCTAGGAATACTGCAGTGAGCAACTCACCTCCTGACTCCCCAAAGCCTGTCCACCATCTACAAGGCACAAGTCAGGAGTGTAATGGAATACTGCCCACTTGCCTGGATGGGTGCAGCCCCAACAACACTCAAGAAGCTTGACACCGTCCAGGACAAAGCAGCTACTTGATTGGCACTACATCCACCAGCATCCACTCCCTCCACCACCGATGCTCAGTAGCAGCAGTGTGTACCATCTACAGCATGCACTGCAGAAATTCACCAAAGATCCTCAGACAGTACCTTCCAAACCCACAACCACTTCCATCCACAAAGACAAAGGTTAACAAATGTTTGGGAACACCATAACCTGCAAGTTCCCCTCCAAGCCATTCACCATCCTGACTTAGAAATATATCACCATTCCTTCAGTGTTACTGGGTCAAAATCCTGGAATTTCCTCCCTAAGGGCATTGTGGGTCTACTTACAGCACATGCACTGCAGTGATTTAAGAAGGTAGCTCACCACCACCTTCTCAAGGGGCAACTAGGGATGGGCAATAAATGCTGGGCCCATATCCCATAAATGAAACAAAAAGTCAAGATGGTGTGTGACCAGAATGGGAATAAGCAAGAGGTGGCGTTTCCATTCATCTGCTGCCCTTGTCCTTCTAGATGATGGAGGCTATGGGTTTGGAAGTTGCTGTCCCGTTCTGTGGTCTGTGGTCTATCTTGCAGTTGGTACACATTGCTGCCAAGGTGTGTCAGTGCGGGAGGAAGAGGATATTGAATGCGGCAGATAGGATACCACTGGGTGATATCAACTATGAGTGTTGCTGGAACTGCAATCATCCAGGCTACTTCTCATCCTTTCTCGAATGATGTATTTTTAAGCATGTCAAGTAGCAAAAGTTGGGCTCCTGTGGCACAGAGGTAGTGTCCCTATCTCTGAGTCAGGAGGCTCGGTTCAAGTCCCACCTACTCTATAGAGATGTAATAATATCTCTGAACCAATTGATTAGAAACTACTGACAAGCCATAATGCCAGACAGCTGCAAGTGTAGCGTATACATTTTCAAGTCTAACAGGGCAGAAGAACTCCTTCAGTAACAATTTGTAACCCTCACAATGAGGAGCAAGCCAGTGGACCTCAGGATTCATCACAAAATAAAGGCATTAGCCAGGCCTTTAAAGGCGGCATCAGCGTCTGGGCTAATCACTAGCTGAGGTTACATAAGCTTGCATTATAGGCTTAGGAGATCAGGGTTTGAGTGAAAATTTGTAGCTCGGGTGCTGGTTGTAGATGTTGGTATTTTTGCCGAGCTGGCCACTAAACTAGCAACTAAATGACACGACCAGATGCCCTTCATTTCAATACACACAGACGAGAAAAACCACACTTTCAACTGTGACAATACTACTATCATTGGACAAGCCAAACAGAGGACAGCCAGGGAATTCTTGGAGGCTTGGCATTCATCCATGGACTCCATCAACAAACACATTGAATTAGACACAATATACTGACCATTACAATGCCCAAACAGAACCGCCACCTACTGGAAGCAATAAAAACCAGACCATATAAATTTGAACCGGCACAAGACAACAGCGCTTCACAGGAGGCTCCACAGCACTGAGGATGTCACCTAGTAAGGGGACAAAACGTCTGCTATCAAGCCTCCCAGCTCGGCAAACACACCAACATCTACAGGCTTAGGGGAGGTAATGGCACCAACGTTGGGAGGAGTCCTGGCTTTCACAAGTGCTGACATTGGATTTAGTGTTCCCACGTATCTACTGCCTTTGTCCTTCTCAGAGGAAGTAGTCGTGGGTTTGGAAGGTGCTGTCGGAGGATCTTTGGTGAATTTCTGCAGTGCATCTTGTAGACAGTACACACTGCTGCTACTGAGCGTCGGTGGTGAAGAGAGTGGATGCTTGTTCAAGACCCAATCCCGAACACAAAAACAAGGTTGATACTTCCCATACAGCACTGAAAGAGCACTGATGTGCTGTCTTTCAGTATGCGATGTTAAACTAAAGACCCCCACCCCCACCGTCTGCCCTCTCGAATGAATGTAAAACTCCGACAGACAGTTCATGCTGTTGTTAATCTCCACCACCGGGAATACCGATTTCATTTCATTGACTCCATGAAAGGCACTTTCTGAACAATTAAAGAATCAGCAAGTGGCTTAGAAAAAGTCAGGCCAAGTAACTTATTGAGATTCTTTTTGCCAATTCACATGTGTGTAGCAATGTTACACAATCCTCAGATAGAACTGAGCTGTTCTGACATAGGAACAAAGAAGAGGCCATTCTGCCCACCCACTGTTCAACTAAATTATGCATGTTTGATCCATATCTCAATTCTAACTACTGCAAAACTAATTCAAACATCAAGGCAAACCTTTGATTTACCCTCCGCATTGAGTTGGGTTGTACTCAATGCGCACTTCACTTGTTAATATAATTGCTAAATCACTGAAATTACAGTCCAATTATGTTTTTTTTTGTAGAATTACAGCAATTAATGGAGAAGCTCACAATCTTACCACGGAGGCAGATTTTATTCCAGGAATGTATAAGGTCCACTTCAACACTGCTGATTATTGGAGGAACTTGGGATACACCCCCTTTCATGAATGTGTCAATGTGAGTACCATTTACATTGTTAAAATAAGCAACAAAAATTATTTTGCAATCAAAGTGTTACATCTGACTGGGTAATACACTGGAAATCAAGCTCCCCCAGCCCCTGTCCAGAGTCAAATTAGAATCCCTACAGGATGGAAACAGGCGATTCAGCCTATCAGGTCTACTTCGACCTTCTGAAGAACATCCCACCCACCACGCCCTAGCCTATCCCTGTAACCCTGCATTTCCCATGGTAGCTTGTGCATCCCTGGACACTAAGGGCAATTTAGCATGGCCAATCCACCTGACCTGTACATCTTTGGACTGTGGGAAGAAACTGGAGCACCCGGAGGAAACCCACGCAGACACGGGGAGAATGTGCAAACTCCACATAGACAGTCACCCAAGGGTGGAAGAGAACCCAGGTCCCTAGTGCTGTGAGGCAGCAGTGCTAACCACTGAGCCACCGGGCCAACCCAAATAAAATTTAAAGACTTGAAAAGTACTAAAAGCTCCCCAATTTACATCTTTTTTGCACTCAGATTGACAGAAAACACAAATCTTTCTCACAAGAATTGCAATTCATGACGAATAAATATATTCTGCCTGCAGATTTTAAAAAAATGAACATTGGCGTATGACTGTTAAAATGAGAACTCCCTCCTATACACACAACATAAGACAGACCCAGACAGGAAAACAAACATGGGGAGTAGAGAGAGAAGGCAGTTCAGTGGGTCCCAGCCCACAGGATCTGCTGTAAAGGTTCTCTAGGCTTATCAAGTCATGTTGCTCCTCGAGTCTCCTTCTTCAGTTGCTTTCACTTATTTACAGGTGGCACAGGGTAACTGACTCATTATTTAGAAATGTGACCCAAAGACCTTTATAAATCACAGCAAGTGGAAAGGAGAAATAAATTGGCTATCCTCAGACTAGAGATGCTTTTTATTGCAGAGCAAACATGGCTCCTTCTCCTCCAGAGATCCAAAAGTATCTAAGACCAAATGATACAGGAGCAGAAATAGGCCATTCAGTCCATCAAGTCAGCTCCACTATTCAATAATTGCTTATATGTTTCTCAACCCATTCTCCTGCCTTCTCCTTTCATCCCCTTATTAATCAACAATCTATTTATCTCTGTCTTAAGTCACAAGGGATTCACAGTGAGCTGATAAGATATATACAGAACTGTTTTTGTCATAGGAGATAGAATAGTGGTGGAAGTGTGTCATTCTGACTGTAGATCTGTGACTAGTGGTGTTCTGCAAGGATCAGCAGTGGGACCCCTGTTGTTTGTGATATGTATAAATAATTTGGGAGAGATTGTAGGTGGCCTGATTAGTAGGTTTGTAGATGACACAAAGCTTGGGGCAAGTTGCAGATAGTGAGGAGGATTGCCAAAGGATACAAGAAGATATAGATGGGCTGGAGGCTTTGGCAGAGGAACGGCAGATGGAATTTAATCCGGACAAATGCAAGATGATACATTTTGGAAGAGCTAATGAAGGAGGCAAGTACACAGTAAATGGATGAACTCTTAGCAGCATCAACAGAGAGATATCTAGGCATAAGGGACCACAGTTCCCTGAAAGTGGCAACACAAGTGGATAAGGTGGTCCAGGAGGCATATGACATGCTTGCCTTCAGCAGTCGGGGTATAGAGTATAAAAATTGGCCAGTCATGTTACCTTTGCATAGAACTTTAGTTAGGCCACATTTGGAATATTGCAGACAGCTCTGGTTGCCACACTACCAGAGGAACGGGGCGGCTTTGGAGACTGTATAGAAACAGTTTTACTAGGATTTTGCCTGGTTTGCAGGCTATTAGCTGGGAGGAGAGATTGGACAAACTTGAACATCAAAGGATGAATGGAGAGCTGATAGAAGTTTCCAAAGTTATGAGAGGCATAAATAGAATGATAGGTGAAGTCTTTTTCCCAGGGTAGAAATGTCAATTACTAGAGGACATAGGTTTAAGGTAAAAGGGGATAAGTTTAAAGGAGATGCAAGAGGCAAGTTATTTTTTATTTTACATAGAGGGTGGTAATTGCCTGGAATGTACTGCCAGAGGTGGTGGTGGAGGTAGATACAATAGCAACATTTAAAAGGTATCTTAACAGATACACGGATAGCCAGGGAATAGAGGGATACAGAGCATGTAAAAGGAAAGAGGTTTTTAGTTTAGAAAGGCATCATGTGTCAGCACAGTCTTGCTGGGCCTGTGTCTATGCTTTGTTCTTTAAATACACTCAATGACTTGACCTCTACAGCCTTCTGCAGCAATGAGTTCCACAGATTCACCACCTTCTGACTGAAGAAATTCCTCATCTCAGTTCTAAAAGGGTCACCCCTTCTCTCTGAGGCTGTGCGCTAGTGAAAACATCTTCTCCACATCCTCTCTACCCAGGCCTCTCAGTATTCTGTAAGTTTCAATGAGATCTCTCCTCATCCTTCTAAACTCCATGGAGTATAGACCCAGATTCTTCAACCGCACCTCATATGTCAAGCCCTTCATCTCCAGGATCATTCTTGTAAACTTCCTCTCGACCTCAAGGCTAGCACACCTTCTTTAGGTATAGGGTCCAAAACTGCTCACAATGTTTCAAATGTGGTTTTACCAGAGTCTTATACGGCCTCAGCAATACATTCCTGTTCTTGTATTCTAGCTCTCTTGAAAGGAGTGCATTTGCCTTCCTAATTGCCAATTGAACCAGCATATTAACCTTAAGAGAATCCTGAACTAGGATTCCCAAATCCCTTTGTGCTTCAGATTTCCGAAGTCTTTCTCCATTTAGAAAATAGTCTATACTTTTATTCTTCCTACCAAAGTGCATAATCTCACATTCCCACGCTGTATGCCACTTCTTTGCCCACACTCCTAGCCTATCCAAGTCCGTCTGCTGCATCCTGCATCCTCAGCCCTATCTGTCCCTCCATCTATCTTTGTGTTTGTAATCTTTCTGCCAAAACATAATCCCAAGTTAATCAGGTGCCTGGTAGCCAATCAATATTCATAGTCTGTAGTTTCAGCTTCACCTGAACTTCCTCCCATCCTTCGGCACCTATCTAGCAAAGCCTGCTATTCCTATCTCCTTCATGTGCTTAACCTCACCAAAACAATATGTCAAACCATTCATTACTACCACTCCCAGAGGTAGCAAGTTCTCACCACATGGAATTTCATCTGAATTCCCAATTGAGTTTCTTACTGACAATCTTACATTAATTGTCTCTAGTTATGCTCTTTCACAAGGAGTTATCCTCTGTGCTTAACCATTTTAAATCCTTTGTGAAGTCACCCCCTCAGACTTCTCTTTTTAAGATGTGTGTGCCCTTTCTGGATCTCATTATTCAAGCGACAATGCTTAACTGATTTGAGAATTTGTGGAGCAGTCTTGCATTTTTTTGAAGTTACGTGCAATTAAAGAATGACAATTGATTTTGATCAAATTGGGGAACATAGGGCCACCTCCATTCTATAGTAAGCGCTGATTTATCACATCTCCCTTCACCTCATTCAGGGCAAGAATGAAGGTAAGAACCTCAGACTGATTAGCGTTCTCTCAATCTCAAACACCAACATCACTTTTGGGTAATCCATTTTGTACAACAGCTAAACTGAATTCTTAATTCCCCCTATCCACCATGGGAAAATGATTTAAGAGCTACCACTGTTAAAGCATTGACAAGCAGCATTGAGAACCGTTAGCGAAACAGTCAATGGTCAAAGCAGATTACTGATTAACTGGATCTCAAACATCAGCCACAAACAATGTTATGGATATCAAAAGAAACTTATCAAGGTACTGAGACAACAAGGTGCAGGGCTGGATGAACACAGCAGGCCAAGCAGCATCATAGGAGCAGAGAGGCTGACGTTTTGGGCCTAGACCCTTCATCAGAAAAGGCTTTTCTGATGAAGGGTCTAG